TCATTTACGCGGGAAACCAGCATATTAGAACGGAAAATATCGACCGCCTGCCGATTGATGACTCGGCTCTGATCGGTTAATGGTGTTTGAAATAGCGTGCGACGAGCCAATGTCACATGGAAGCATGACAGTCTGACAGGGATTCTTTCCTCGCTCACACACCACTGATTCCACTGTGCTACCACGGTTAATAGACACTCCATAACATTGTATAGATTTAATTCAACAGAAAATGGAACGACACATCTGCGCATGTGCGTCAGACAGAAAAAAAAGCGTCTGGGACGAGGAAAGCCAGAGAGAGAATATGCGGGCGTGCTGCGACCCTTCAGGATGTTGGGGATCACGTCTCTCCACAATTTCCTGTCGTTTGTAGCTCGTAGTGAAGTTATTTTGCTATCTCTCCTAGTTTCTGTTCCGCCAGCTGTTTACAAAAGCTTGTTACGTATGGTATTCGCCGATTTTTTTCTGTCCCTCTTGCCTAAAATATGCCTCGTGAGTTACAAATTTGCCAAGCCCTCTTTATATTTGTTTTAAATGTTTCACCCCAAGCAAGGGGAGGAAGCCACTATCACGCAATGGGTTACAGAGAGTTGGAGCGATAGCAAAGAGGAGTGATAGAGGAAAGGATGAAGAGAAGGATAGGGGATAGTTCAAGGCATCTGGAGACGTTGATTGACATTACATTTGAATAGTTGGAGATTATAGCTATCAGGGAAACAGGAAAATGGGAGGGAATTCCACAGGTGAGAAGTGCGAGACATGAAGTTATTGGGGTAGAAGAGATGGCTACATTTAACAGTTTCGACAGTGAAAGGGTGAGAGCGAGATGCCAGCCTCGTAGAATGCTTAAATTCATGAAGTCTGGGAACCAGCGAAAGCAGCTCATCGGAGCAGTTACCGTGAAAATATTTGTAAAAAAATAGACGGAGGGAGGCGACGGCACATCTGTGAGAAAGCGACATCAGACGAGATGCCAGATCAGGGCCAATTATATTGCATATCCGTCTCTGGATCCCATCAAGAAGCTTGAGACAAACAGAGGAGGCATCGGACCATAAATGGCAGCGATACTCCATGAGAGGACGAATGGTTGATTTGTAAATTTGAGGGATCGACTCTGGCGAGAAAAAAATTCCTGGCGCGGCACAGGGAGCGCCCTAGAAATCACAACTATCTCTTTCTGATTCGAACTGCATATGTCGTTTTCGTTTTCATATTCTTTCAAGTTTTGTTGTTGGTTTACGCATTTGTCAGCATCCCACTGTAGAATCACATTTCTGTTTTTTCAACTATTTTCTCCATCTGGGAGGCGGATGAGATTGTCCAGCATCCATTGCTATATAGGAGGACCGATAAAATTTCGAATTCTGGCTCTGGCTTTTTACGTCCAATATTTGAATAATGATTATCTTAACACAAGGGTATATTCGAACTGTATAGGGTGATTATGTTATGTCCGTTTTCCAAGTATAGATAGACATTTTTTTTTCTTTGAAAAGCAACATTCGAAATTACAGCTAATTGGAAAAGGATCACATTCAAACGTTATCTCTCTATATAAAACAGAGGATGTCTGTGCGTTTGTGTGTCTGTATAATACCTTTTCACTCAAGATCCATCCAACCGATTTTGACCAAACTTGGCAGACACGCTGTACCATGTAAGGGAAAGGTTCTCAGCGCATAAAAATCGATAATTTTTAAAAGATCAATAAAGCCGATTAAATATCGATAAATTCAACATTTTTCCTCCGATTTCGTTCAAACTTGGTATGTAGGTTACTTACATCATGACGAGCTCAACGATGCGCCATTTTTATTTCTAAGCCATTGCGTTTAATGAAAAACTGCAAAAAACAAAATATCGATTGCAACAGAAATTTTAAACTAAAAACTCCCTCAATTTTCAAGCAATCTAATACAAACTTCACTCAATTGTAGCCAATAATAAGTTGATTGTTTAAAATTCATTTAATTTGATAACTGAGTCCACCCATATAGTGAAAATCAGCGTAAATAGCAAAAAATGGCGATTTTTACTGATTTCTTTCTTACTTGACGTTGATCTTTCAACCAATTTTCATCAAAATAAACAATTGCTTTATAAATGTATCCTCTTTTACATCCCTGGTAGCACACTGACAAATTGAATTTCAAAAACTCCAAAAAAATTGTGGCCTGAAGTGGGTCTTCATGTTGCCTCCTTTACCTATTCATGTCCTCGGCTAACTTCGATTGAATAATTACAAACTATTTCTGCTATATCAGTAACTGCATTAATTCAAATTCCTTTTTAATGAAAGTACTTTAAAGCAATTGAAGAAGATAGACTGTGTTAAATCTAAACATGATGCTGTTTTTGCTCCATTCTAATTGAACTCTTTTTCTGATCGACCAGCTGGGTATGGCTGCTAGTATATAATAATAAAAAAAAACGAAACAAATTTTCCATACATAAAGATTAACATCAATACATTAGTAAGAAATTTTAAAAAAATATTATAAACTAGGTAGCCACAGAAAACGCGATACCTCAGGATTATAATGATTTTTAAAAATGAAAAAATCTTTCTTGAAGTTTTTATTTTAGTTTTAATTTCAAGCCAAAAGAATAAATTTTCAATAATCAAAATATTTTGCTGTATTTCAAAAACTAATTTTAATTAACTGGAAAGAGGTGATTTATTTATTTTTGTTAAAATAGCAGATTTAATCGTCATTCATCGCAAGGTAATAAGTTTACATTATTTGGACTATTGTCCTCATATTTATTACAACGTTTCGGCTTTTGTACGCTCCGGCCTTCTTCAGGTGGTTGGAATGTCGAACTGAACCCTTTATTTCTCTCACTGGGGTAGACTGTTCTAGTTCCACATGCCATGTTTAATGAATGTCAGTTATCAGTTACCTCCACTGCCGTAACCGCGTATTGAACTCACAATTTTGGGGTCCTGTCACTGGATCTAACTAACGCCTTTATCCACTGTGTTCTTGAGGATAATAATTTTAATCTAAATATAATTTTCTGAAACTTTATTTGAGGAATATTAGCTGATTTAAATTATAATTAATCTGATTTGGAAGAAATATTGTTTACTTTAAATTTAAAACATTACAGAAATGTATTTTTTTTTTAACTCAGCGGTAGTTGTTTATTTACTCTGTTGACACGTTTGACTGTTTAATGACAGATTGATGTTTATTTAATATTGTTCTGTGGGGGCTTTATCCGTAAAAATAATTGAATATAATGTGAGCGCCTTTTTATATATAATTTTTAAGTACTCAGTAATTTTAAAATTTAAGAAAATATTCTCCGTTATCTAATGTTTTATTGAATCTTAGATATTTTCTGGCTTAAAATTTAATATAGTCATCGCTCTTATTTGCCGATAATGTCTCTCATGAACTACCATATCGACAAAAATTGCAACCTTTATACACATACCAAAATTTTTAAAATATTGGTGTTTGATGATTTGCACTAAGCTTTTCCATTTATTATTAGAAATTATAGTTTTTATTTAATAATAATAAGATCTAAATGGGTGAAATTAATACATAATTTTAAAAAATTTAGAACTTAATAAATTATTTTAATTAAATTTTGTTAAAAATTGAAAAAAAAAACTCTTGCAAGAATTCATTATTCATCAAATTTTTTTTTCACTTAAGACAAGTGTCCTTAATATATATTATTTATAAAAGCAATTAAAAGCTTTTCCAAATAAATAACGTCATAGTTTTAATGCATTTTATTTATTTTACGATTCAGATGTCACATTTTCCAGACTAATCTTTGGCCCATCCTCTGATGCAAGAAAAACAAGATATTTGAGCAAAATTTTCAGCATGCTAGAAAAGATTAAAATATTTAATAAACTTCGCTCTTTCCTCTTAATAATAATATAAACATTTTGACAATAAAACTTTGTTTTTATCAGGTTTGGAGCCTTTTCTCATCATGATATGCTTCTTTTTACCTAATTATTTGGATGTGCCTATTATATATATTGCTCTACTTAGAGTATTAAGTACTTTATTTAGTTATTGTACTTTACTCATATCTGAGTTTTTTTCTTTGGACGCTGAACTTAGATTCTAGACGATTATTTTCGCCGGATGTACATGTTCCTACTTCTTTCTTTTTTACCATTTTTTTCCTTTGGGTATTAGTTTGTTCATTCACAAGCTAAAACACCTAAGGTTTTGCCGGACGAGTATAGCTACTTACATTTGTAAGTTTATTAAATATATATATATATATATATATATATATATATATAAACTGATTTAAAATATGGTGTTTTTTCTACACAGTAATAACCATGTTTCAAAAATGGAAGCTAAATTTTCAAATTTAATTTTGTAATTAAATTAAAAACATTAGTTCCATTTCATCCTCAAGTGAATTTTGGAGTAACTTATTTTTAAATTTACTGAGTTTTAAAGCCACAGAAAAATCATAATTCACTGTTTCCAAGGATACAGAGAGATCCAATCATTCAGACAAGGTGTGGTGGCGTGTTCATTTTTATTAACTTTTGTTGTATCAGTTATTAGTTACGTTCGAAAAAGGGATTATGTTTAGGTAGGGGTAGGGATGAATTTTTCAATGAATTCTGACATCCGTTAAATGCCTTTCGTCTGTTTTTTTTTTTTTTAAATTTTATTGTTAACGGCAAAAAATTCTTACGGCATTTTTTCTATTTGTATACTTAAAGATTTTTGGGGGGATGTTTAGGTTAGAATACGTTTTATTTAACTGCAATTTTAAAATATTTTAATTTTTAATTTTTAATAGACTATATTTCTTTTAAAACAAATGTATTAGAATTACTTACAGTATATAAAATTATTTTTCCCATATTAAGTATAAGTATGTATATTACCAGGTCACATTTGTTTTTTTTTTTAATTTTATTTTTAAATATTATTTAAGGAAAATTTTTGACAATGACAGCAAAAAATAGCTAATTCATTTCTCTGATCCAGTAA